CAAAATGGCCGACCAAAGTTTTACATAGGAATATATAGGAAAAATCTTTAAAAATCTTCTTCTCCAGAACCACTGGCCCAGGAAAAATGAAACTCATGTGAAATCAACCTCAGGTAGTGTAGATTCAAGTTTGTTCAAATCATGACCCCCGGGGCAAGGGTGGGGCCAAAATGGCCGACCAAAGTTTTACATAGGAATATATAGGAAAAATCTTTAAAAATCTTCTTCTCCAGAACCACTGGGCCAGGAAAGATGAAACTCATGTGGAATCATCCTCAGCTAGTGTAGATTCAAGTTTGTTCAAATCATGACCCCCGGGGCAAGGGTGCGGCCAAAATGGCCGACCAAAATTTTACATAGGAATATATAGGAAAAATCTTTAAAAATCTTCTTCTCCAGAACCACTGGGCCAGGAAAGATGAAACTCATGTGGAATCATCCTCAGGTAGTGTAGATTCAAGTTTGTTCAAATCATGACCCCCGGGGCTAGGGTGGGGCCAAAATGGCCGAAAGTTTTACATAGGGATATATAGGGAAACCTTTTAAAATCTTCTTTTCAAGTACTTCAAAGCTATGATTAGTGATATTTATATGGAATCATCCTCAGGTAGTGTAGATTCTAGTTTGTTCAAATGATGAACGCCTGGGGGGGGGACTAAATTAAAGCCTGATGTGCTCAGGTGAGCGCTGTGGCCCCTGGGCCTCTTGTTTCTTTTTGTAAATAAACCTGTATCATGAACATTTATATGTTTAAATTAATTTCAGTGAGTGTTGATTCCCCATTGTATGTTTACCCTCATTCTAAGACTGTCTTAAATCGGGCAATAGAGAGAGACTCAGAATTCCTAGCCAATAACTTTGTTATGGATTACTCACTCCTTGTGGGGATTGATGAGGATAAAAAAGAACTTGTTATAGGCATAATAGGTGAGTCTTTTGAAAGAACATTATGTGAACAATTTATGGATGCAAAATTTGAACATAGACAATTAGAATAAAAATAGATTGGAGTGAACATATTTTAAGCCTTAGACAGTTAAATATTTTCACCAGGAAATTGAGGTACTTTGCATATCTTCTGGTGGGTGCTAAAGGGTACAGTGTATATGCCCCCCCCCCCCCCCCTACTCGTTTAGACCCTTTGACCTTTTTGAGCTTTGTTTTAATAGAGAATTTTGCCAAGCAGTCCAGACTTAATCTAATACAGTCATGTATATTTTTAAAAGCAAAGTTTTTTCCTGATGTAGAGTATTGAATGCAATGTAAAAAGTGATGGAAATAAAATGTAGGGAGAAAGGTCCCAAGTCTGAAAAAAAGGGGATGAGTTATCACATTCTCAAATACCTATAAACCGTATGGAGCAAGTTTTGGATAGCAAATTTTGATTTGTCTTGCCAACTTTTGTGAATTTAAATTTACAATCAAAAAGAATCAAGAAAAACATGAAATGATCTCTAGATTTATTTTTCAGATTATATCCGAACTTTCACATGGGATAAAAAGTTGGAGACTTTAATCAAATCAACAGGAGGTAAATGATTTATCACATTAGGGAAGAAAAAAGACAAAAGTTGTAATCTTTAATCTTATTCAAAGTAAATAAGGTATTCATATGTGCATTTCTTGTTCATTATCAACAGGCAAACAGCCCACAGTTGTGTCCCCTGACATCTATAGGACCAGGTTCCTGGAAGCCATGGGGAGGTACTTCCTTCCTGTTCCAGACCAGTGGAGCTTCCTGGGAAGAGAAATCAATTACTAAACACTGATACAGGAAGTAGCTAAAGAAAATCCCTCCCATCCTTATTGATGGGCCAGGAAACAGGATATGCATAATCAGTTTGAGAAAATTTCCTTTTGATGATGAATATGGGACCAAGATTAAAACCATAAAGTGTTCAGCAGCATACAGTTTGTGTCTCTGTCTCTGTTCCAATACAACTAATGCTGAATTCATCAAATTTAGATTTCATTCGTGATTTGATATTCATGAAGTCACAGAGTCCTCTACCTAAGAAAAATTGGGGACATGTTTACTGGGTATTAATGACAATTCACCATTAGGAAATGAATTTTGTGACTACTGTGATACTCAATTTTTGTGCCAAAGTTTGAACAGAGCACTTCAGGCATTGTATTTGTAATTTAATCATGTAATAACTATTATGTCAAGGACACCACTTTCTTTTAATTTCATTTTGCTGATATACAAGCTATGACAATTACCTTGACCTTGACCTACAGATATACTGTAGATCACTAAATTTTCACGACACCTTATTTTCGCGAGATTGTCATTTACTCTTTGTAAGCGAGACATAATTTTCACGAATAGTTGTTATTCCTCTATATAAGTATGTAAGGAATACTTTTATATGCGAGAATTAAATTTTCGCGAACGCATTGTCTCGCGTAATTACGCGAAAATAAAGTTCTCATGAAAAAAAAGTGATTTACAGTAGTGAAATCACAATGTGAAGGATGCTTGCTATTAGAGGAATCCAGTGTTTTACTATGACATAAATATAAACTTGGATCTTTTTTTTGTGTATACTCAGTACATATCATTTGAGAACAAACGTGATGAATAATGACAAATACGGTATAAGTAGAATTTTTAGCGAGGATTTAATTTTGGCATTATTAGCGAGGTTGCCAAGATAGCTAAAATTTAATATCGCTAATTATTAATATCGGTTTATTTGTAATATGTTCTTTAGTGAGCTTTTCAAAAATCGCTAAAATTTCTTCTTGCTAAAAATAAATTAACAATTTTAAGGTTAAATCGCTAAATGTGTAAATTTGCGTCTCGCTAAAATTTTCACTTATACGGTATGTTAATAATGATTAAATATTTTAATCACATTTTTGTCTTAAGTGATATTTTGTTGGATATATAAAGGCCATAATAAGTATCATTTTCTAAGTTTTTGTTTATTTGTACGCAATATGTGTAATATTGTTATACTTGCTTCATTGAAGCAAAAAATAATTTTTGTTTTTTTCATATTTGAAGTGTTTGGTTTTTTTTTTCCATTTTTGTACGATACATTCCTATAAAATTTTAATCAGAATCACCAGGGGAAGTGTGCAATCATTTTCAAAATTACTAATATATAGGATAAATTCCATGCATTCAATTTAATAAAGGAGAATGTAAACTGTGTGCATGTTTTTTTTTTTCTTTTAATACAGTAATGTTTGTGGTATGACTTATTTAAAGAGGAACTTAACAATCCAGACTTTTGCTTTTTTCTTCATAAAAAAAATTATAGAAAATGAAAGTTCTGTTTGCGTGAGCCAAATTTATCTATCTTTGATTGCTGAGGAGTTTGACTTCCATGTCTTTATTGTTTTTAAAAGATTTCAAATTTACAATGTACCGGTATGTGAATTTTAGAAAGTACATGTTGATTATGACTAAGTAATGTCTACTATAGGAGCAATATCTATTTTTAAACCCTTGGCAAAACAAGTTGTTGGAGGATAGATTTTATATTGAAAGAAATTTTAAGATTTGGAAAAGGGTCTTGGAGCCATCTCTTGAGGCCCCCAATGGGTCCAATGCAAAGCCCTTGTGGTTAAAACCCCCTGAAGCTATTTGGGCAAAAATTTACCTTTTCTATGTAGAAAATTTCAATATTTCTTGCTCTTGCCTTTATGATCAATAGTATGCATTTAAAAAACTAGAAGTATGTTCAAGTCTGAGGAATCAAGCCCTTTAGGAATATAGAATTAATCCCATTCATGTCTGATAAGTCATTTCTTTTCACAGATCCCCTTGCAGTAGAGTTTAAGGGGATATAGTACATGTAACACAATCGTTTGTGTTCATTGTGGGCGAGTTAATTCTGTGCAAAACAGGAGTGATGTAATTTGCACCGGGATTGATGTTGAATGCTGCCTTAATTTATAAATATGCTCTTTGTGAGAGGATGCTCCTCCTTGCAGTGCCCTTGTTTATCTTGAATTTGACAATTTAACTCCCACCCCCTCTTAAATCCTCCACTTTATACATAGTGTGTATCTTATGTTCCATTCAACCTATATTTTATGCTCCATCGAGTCCATTCACCGGTATATGCAAGGTTATGGCAAGCACTTGGGTATCTTTTCCATTTATTTCCATATAATTTAATTCTGTTTGTATTCTTGTCTCTCATTGGTTGATTTCCAAAAAGGAACGCATAACATTTTGTATAATCTGGTTTGGTATGGGGACACACCCCCTTGACAACCAGCTGAATCATCTGTATCCATCAATCCCCTCATTTCCAGTCCTTCGGATTCATGAAAAATTCAAGATTTAATGAATGTACCTTTAACTTCAAACAGTTGCTCGATCTTACCTCATGTAAACAAGCATCATGGCTGCTAGATCTATGTATCAGTTTTTACCTCCCCTTGCTTCCCATCACTTCCGTTACTACGGTTGTATTATTGCGCGGTAAATTTGAACTAATAAAAACAACACAATTTTACATCCCCAGTTGTTTAATTATTTTAAAATTAAATTATAAGGAATGACTCTAATTCTTGGCCAGATTATCGAGTATAATATGGTTTGGGTCAGTTTACGCTTTTTTATAATCCGCTTCGCGGATTAAAAAGCGTAAACTGACCCAAACCATATTATACTCGATAATCTGGCCAAGAATTAGAGTCATTCCTTAAGTATTTTGCAGATATTGGAGCATCTAGAAATATTTGTTGTATGTTCCAGTAACTCCTATGACCTGCATTTTATGGATAGAAACTGCAGGCGTCTTTCCAATTATCACAAGTACTTTGGGATGCTATATCTAGAGGCTACTTCAGATGCTGTCTCTGACCTACATTTTATGCTAGACCTACCCCTTTTAGGGTCAGCACTTATATAAGGTTTGTTCATTGCTCATAATTTTTAAATGGTCTTTTCTGAAACATTGATTTAAGCACCATGAAAGAGTATACAATAAAATACATGTATTTTATTTTGTGTAAAACACAAAAGAACTTAATTGATTTACTTAATTTATTCTGATTTTTAAAAATGTACAAAAAAGTCATACAAAAGACAGGCTTCATAAATTAACAATTTCATTTGCTCATAACTCTGCATAAAAATTTTCTATTCTGAAACTGTGGTATTTTGCTGTCACAGTATTAGACAAAGTTAATGTTTACCCGATTTTAACTGCATACATGCTTGAAGAAAAAAAGATTCCATTCAATATAAAAATGAAATTTTGTTTTAAAAAAATAATATGTAAAGTTATATTTCACATCTTTGATGTACATTCAATCTTCAAATATTAAGAATGTAATAAATACAGTAAATCGTACAAAAATATACAACATATATAAATTCTATAAAATCACTGGTGTTGAACTAACGTACAATGATCCATTCTGAATTTAGTCAGGCTCACATTCATTTTAACACACTGCTATAATTTCAGTACTGAATTCAAAATTTCATAATTAATACAAATACACAACTTGTGTGTCCAACAAAGATTTTGAATGATAAGCATGACTTGATATGTAGCAATCTGTGACTTTTAGCCATAATTTCTTTTTTTTCAGAAAAAACAAAAGGCAAGATGCTCTGGGGTTGATTTTAAGCATAAGTTGACCATGACTAAATTAAACACAAATTATCTATGTCCTTTTTCCCTGGTGAGCTTCAATGACAACAACACTATGTAAATTGATACAGATCACATGGTTTCTAAAAATAAACATCTACATTGCTTTGTCATCAACTGGATTTCACTTTCTTTACATGTTTCCTCTCTTTATCTGAAAATGAAAGAAAAACTGTATTAAAAAATTCATTCTGCTAAAATATTTCAAATAGATAAGTAGTCCTATACATATACATGTACATCTATAGCTCACTGTCCGGAATAAATTGAAAGAACAGAAAGCTATGACTCCATGCCTTCCAAGCCATGGAGTCATGTTCCAGGCCTTTAATCCCCATATTCTTAAATGCTAGTGTTGCAGATCTGCTGATATTCAGCTAAAGACATGTATATCTTTTCCATTTCCACACAAAAATACACATTTTAAAAAGTTATTGATGCTTCAAACTGTAACTTACCCCAGAGAGTTTTGTTGATAAATTCTCCAAGGAGATAGAGAAATACAAAAAAGACTAGCAGGGCCATAATGAACACAGCCTTCTGGTGAGGTGATAGAACCTTCAGGATGGGATAAACCCAGATATTGGCATAGAATGCCACCCATAGGATCCTGTAATAGAGAAACCAATTACAAGTATATCATTATACTGTATACCAACTATTATTTGCGTCATCTTTTATTAGTAAGTTTGAAATCTATCTGCGGCGATTAATTTTCACAAATAAGGAAAATTTTTCTGCAAAAATAAATGGTTCGCAGTGATTAATATTTGCAACTTCAACAGGTCGTGAATCTTGCAATATTTCTTGCACACGAATAAAAATTGGGTTACAGTATACAATTAGCTTAATCGCCAATACGAAATGGACTATATATATGTGTGAAAAGTATTACATGTATGCTAAAGTGACAAAACAGAAATATACTGCTTATTGACTTACCAGGCAAGATAAGTTAATGCTAGAGACAGAAGAGTGATGAAGCCAGCCTTTCTGCTTGGATACTGATGGTAAACTAGGAACTTGTCTATCAACAGGAAAGGCAGAATGGTGGTGTGCTGAAAAATAAATTTTCAATATTTCACAAGATACCTTTTGTGTACTGAAGGCAATAAAATTATGTGTTTATGATATTTGCTTTGGTGATACCTTATAAGAAATAGAAAACTGATATCAGTAATTTTTTGCCACCACAAAAAAGAAACTTTTATATGCATTACTACTAAACATTTTCCAACCACGAAATCAAATCTCCACAAACCAATACTTTTTCCTCAAACCTCGAAAATTTGACCTCATCAAAATATGTGATTTTACAGTACACATCTTCGCTAGCCAAGGATTTCTGATACGCTACTCTCCTCATGAACCCTTGGCATATGGTGAAGTCAAAAGACGGGATTGTTTTCATCACGTGATCTCGAATCTTTCAGGTATGCACAGATTGCATCATCGACAGGAATAAAGACGCGTGTTTAAAAAAATTAAATCAAAGTTTTTTTTCAAGAATAATTAAGAAGCAATAATTGAGTTATGTTTATTTATTATTAATAGTACAAATAGGAAGCTTCAATATAGATTCTTAATCACATATTCAGAAGATATTGGATGACACCATAGCTATTCATAGAATTGCATGTTATCTTACGGATCGTTATTTACTTGCGTTTTTCATTTCCAAGATTAAAGAGTCAAGAAGTATTCCGAGTGCAAATATCGTAATTTACAAAAAACAATCGCTGATTGGTTGACCGGGTGTACCGAATCCCAATCAGAACTAGAGAGAAAAAACCTAACTTCTATCAACACCGTATGCCAAGGAATTATGAGGAGAGTAGCGTATCAGAAACCCTTGACTAGTGAAGATGACAGTAACATTTTTAAAAATGAAAGCGACTTATCTTTGACAAACAGACATACAGAGATTATTACAGGGCTTCCTCATATTCTTACGACCCTAATTATAACTTGTGAAACATGAATGGTTATTGTTTGTCAATTCCATAAATCTTCTTACCATAATGTGATTGAGCCATGATGGAATGATTTTATCCAGTTCTTTGGGATACACCAATTCTCTGTCTATGGCATATATTCCCCAGAAGGTTAAAACAACAAACTGAAATAAATGGTACATGAATTAAGTCACGGTGAAATTCTATCTTAAATTACAATATAAAATTTCCTCTCTTATCTTTCGGAAAAAAGGCATGGACTTTTTAAGTGTAATCATTTTTATCAAAATACATTTTTCTTAAAAAAGGTGTACTGTTTTCGATTCATTCATCACTTTTCATTAAATAAAGCTTTGCATTGCTGTAAAAAATTCAAAATACAGTAAAAGTGAGGTTAAATCAAATAATTTATAAAACATTTGAAGCAATTTCTATCGAAGCAAATACATACCATTCCCACAGGAAACACAATGGTCGCCAAGAAGTTGTCCCTCCATCTTTGTAGGCGGCTTCGCTGACCTTTCCCAGAGGGTCGGACATTTGTTCCGCAGAAATCATTGGCTACACACAGCCCAAAATATACTGTCTGGATTATCTGGAGAAATAAAAAATTAGATATCTTACACAAAAAATTTCAAGAGATTCACACTTGATACTTGATAAGACATAGCATGTGCATGATAAAGCTAGATTATGTCACTTTGATACTGCATTTATGAAATAAAACAAAAAGGTGAATTTTCGTATGATATCATACTCAGTATATTATATAATCATACATAATCAATACACATGATAAAGAACTGGTACTTGTACATAAATATTACATGCAATATTTACAACTTACAAAGAACCAAAAAGTTAAATATTTGAACTTTCCACCAAATCCATCATAGGTCAAAAGAGAAGTAAAAACATCAATTTCCTGACTAATTTTGATGAATGTCACATTGTAAATCAGTGAATAAGACAGGAGAACCCAAACTGCCACATGGAATAAGTGTAACAAAGCAGCCATTTTCAATGAACAAACAATGCAAAGGGTCACTAATCATGGCCATTAATAAGATTACAGGTCCATTGATAAACTCAGATGATAACAACACAATTTTAACATCTATACATATATTTAAATTAAATGGACCCAAGAGGTCAAGTACAGTCTTCCTGATACAGTGACTGTTGCAGGAGGGATAAATAAATGGTCAAGGAGTTAAACCAAGGCCAGATAACTGTAAGAAGATGTACTTATTGTAATATCTCCTTGAACAATTGTTTACAAAATTTTAACTGCATTATGCATTGGGGTATTACATGCATTTGAAAGGAGGACCTATCAATTAGACTAGGAAAATTAAATTTCACTGTTCTGAAAATCTATGTCGGCTATTATTAACTTATGTATCTTAAATATATAGAAGATGCTTTTAGAGGGCCAGTGCAAATGTAACTAATTTAAATGTAGAAGCAATAAAGATGAGATCAAACATCACCCTATGCCACAGGCACCTGACGTATAGGAGCTAGGATTTCCTTGTATCACACACTTGTGTCTACGTAATCTAAGTTAAACTTTTAGTGAAGGTGCATCAACTGTTGGTGTATTATGAAGGTCAGTATTTTCAGCTGTTACTAAATCAGATACAGGTACTGAAGTATTTCTTCAACTGTTGCACAGAACATGTGGCAAGAGAAATATTTAAAAAGCTCCTACTCCATTACAAATCTTGTCACAGAAATAAAATTTTGAGAGTAAGTGAACAGGTAACTAACAGGAAATTATGTTAGAGACAGGGGGTTTGAATCATCCATGTGTGAACGCTCTTGCAGTTGAAGAACTTCAATGCTCCCACAATAAAATGCAATCAGGAATCAATGCTGGAAAGGAATTCAATATCTAAATTGATGATTAGCTTATCCTTTCTCAGGTCAGGCCCATCTTTAAATTTTATGCCTAGTCCTTAAGACAAAGTCATTTAAAAAATGATGGCATTCTAACAGATGAATTATTAATGAATAATGCATTAAACCTTTCCATGAACTTTGCTGCAGGATAGTTGACTTTTAACAATCTGAAGTCTGTATTAGTTTCTATTAATTTGAATGAACTACAGTCACTTTCCTCCCTCCTTAATATTGTCTTCAGCTTTGAAGTAACCAACCTAGGTTTATCCCTGGCAGGTTTCCCCCGTGTTGCTTCCAGGGCATGGCACAGCATGACGCCAAATGTAACAGGCAAGAAAACAATATCAAATAGCAGACGAAGATTCAAACCTGGGTCCCTTGAACTTGAACATGTTTAAACAACTAATTTGAAAAATGACTTATCTGGCCTCTATATAGTGAAAGAATTTGTTTAATCATCAATATATATGTCCAAAATACATGATATGAGTTGCATGTGCTCGAATTATTTTCTTCATGTTGTGTGTCACATATACATGTATATTTGCTAGCAATTGTATTATTTTTCAGCAAACCCTCACTTATTGCTGACATCTTCATTTTACAAATAAAATAACAGGACTGTCTTTCTACTTTCAAATCTATTAATAAACAGCTTCCTGCTTATGAAATGATTGAAAACAGAGATTAATCATGTTAATAAATGTTGATCGATTTAAAAATGATAATAAAAAATTATAGCATAGCACTGTGAAAACTAAGTCATTTAAATCAAATGCTCTTAAACTTCGTTTAATCTTCGAGTCTGTCCTTGGATTTAATCTCTACCTTGAGTCAACGTGACACAATGACACATTAACCCAGTCTACATCACATGTATCTACTTACAAAATACCAAAAGGTCAGATATTTAAATTTTCCTCCATATCCTTTGTAAGTCATCAAAGTTTCGCCTGGCCTTGTTCTTACGTAAAAATGATTGTAAATAAATGAAGAAAATATCACTACAAAAACAGCAGAATGGTAACACTTCACTTTCCACTTTGTTTTAAGATGAACACGACGAAGTTCTGCCATCCTGCAGATCAAAATGAAAGTAAAACTACACCCCACTAGAGTTATCTGCCCCTTTACATTTCGTCGAGATAAAATCTATGATAAGTACTGTACTCGATGTAATATTTGTTTATATTATGAATTGTGCAAATAAATTGAAATATTTCTTTTAATCTCAGACAGGTGATACATTGCAGAATGAATCAAATCTTCCACACAAGTAAATTATATTGAACATCCATTGATCTCAAGTTCATCAAGATAAAACATGCTCACTCAACCTACCATATTAATGAAAGTGAGATATTTGAATTTTCCACCATAAGTTTCCCATCCCATAGGAAGGAGAAAAATGTCCCATGCTAGTCCATATACCTGGACAATATACACAGGTAAATAAAACACTATTGATTTCGAAACCATGACTTGTTCTGTCTGCTGCGGGAGCCACTAATACAAGAAACGCCAAAGTGAAGAGGCCTACTTATTGATAACACTTAACCATACGCTAACAGAGAGCGTTTCATCATATAGATAGAATATTATACTTTTTTTGGTTACCAGACAAATGAAAATATAATATATATATTTTTTTAATTTAACTTTATTTGTTTGTTATTTCCCAAAAATATTTTTAAAACCTAAAATATTATTAATTCACTTCGTTGAATAACTTGAGAACTCATGGTAGCTGCATTACTCTTTTTGGATGTACAGGCCTGGACTATGGATATACCCTCCCCAGACTTAATAAAGGGGGTAAAGGTTATTGGGATGTATATACCTCCTCTAAAAATAACCTAGAAAATTACCTTTTTAAAAGTAGCTGGATATTTTTTTTTATCAAACTTAATTTATACTCATATACACCCTCATTTCTAGCTTTAAACAGGGACCTATATACTAGAAAGCTTAAAAGCACAAAAATAAGATTTCCTACTATTCAAGCAAATAATTTTAAAAGCTATCGCTTCTAAAAATATCACATCCCCTTTTAAAAATAAACTATAAAGCCTCCTCCTCGTCACAAAGTTTCGTACTGGGGTATTTATGTATATATAGAATATAATATGTACAATTTTTCTTTCAACGGTTAAATTGATATGTACATACAGTTAATGACCATGCAGTTACTAATCATTTGACGTATAAATCATCTTCATATCTGAGTTGTACACAAGATCATTTTCCCCTATATTTTTAAACAACAGTGTAATACAATGCAAACTTCTATATATTTGTATTCAACTGTTCAATGCATTGCATATTACACGATTGTATAACTATTTTGCCTATAGGAACCTTATAATTAAGTGACCATGGAAACAGTTATATAAATTACTGATTTATACTAATATTGATTCAACGCGATTAAAAATGCTTCATTTGCATCATATAGTGTTACATGTACATGCGTCGCATGCTTTCATGCGTTTGTTTGTAAATAAAAATTATTGCGTGCAAACAATCAAAACTATATTTAGAAAGTAGACTTACGAAGTTCCAGTTGGTCAGGTATTTGAATTTCCCCCCGTACCCTTTATAGGTGAACACATTCTCTTCCTCATTGGTGACGATGTATTTACAATCATAGATATAAGCCGCTGAATGGGCGATAAACAATACTGTGTGATAAACCGAGACGATCAAGATATTCTCCATTGCTTAGATCCACTTCCGTGAAAATCCCTGTTGTAACATGCCTGTGTGGGTATATAGAACATTGGATATAGTTACCTCGTGTAGAACTTGACATTTAATGAAGGTCCAGCTAGCTTAGCATTGGAAGAATGCGTAAAAGACCAAAATATTATTATTGTGGCTATAAATGAATTATTCATGCGTGACTAGATTGTCATAAATCTGTGTGATATTTTTTCCCCCTTTAGATTACTTTAAATTTATTAATAAAGCTGTTATTTTAAACCAAACATGGAATTTTGACTAAGGTTCTTTTATTAAAATTTAAACAAAATCCCTTATCAGCCATATGTATAGAAAATATTTTTGAAGTGTGTTTCTCTGCAGAAATATCGATCTTAAAAGATTCATAGGAATACGGGCGCGATAAATACTCATTCTGCATTGCAGACTGACTTTAACTTAGCAACCATCTTGTCAACAAAAGCTATTCACTAATAGGAAAAACATCAGAACTGACAGTCTTCGTGTTCGAGCGGACTGTCTGTACAAAATTATTTTATATTTGACAAGATTGGCCTGATTGCATGAATTGCGACGTTAGAATGAAAAATAAAAGAATATCCGTATCACGGAATCATAATAAATCCAGGATTATCGTAACTTAGAACAAGTTATATAGAGTTTCCAATATGTTAGGAAGCTTTTACATTTTGAGTTGTACTTCTCTGAAATGATGGTTCTTTGAAATTAATGTTTCCACCCCTCCCCTTATTTTTCATAATTATATCCCATTTAAAGAGTTGGAAAATGCCCTTCATTTGAACAATCTTTGAATATATTTACCGTCCCAAGAAATGATTTGTGCCATGTTTGATTGAAATTATATAGTTTCTGTAAAATTTGAAAATAATTTCATTTTACAAATGGACAGACATACGCATGCTGAACAAAAGGGTGATCAGGAAAAAACTCATGACCTTAATAGCTTATAGATGAGCTAAAAACCAACAAAAGTTTTATTATTGTGACCTCTTAACAATTAAATAACTTTCAAAAACAGAAATGAGAGAATAAACGATTTTTACTTTAATTATGAAATACCCATGCTCAAAAGCGAATTGAAGAGCATATACTTGTATACGAAATTTATTATATTTTTATGTACGTAGTGCACATTAACATGGCTACAGAACTATAGCTCTAAAAAAAATACCGACGGACTGGTCGTTCATCCAAATTTTTCAGACCAAGGAGCTTTACAGACCTGCAACCAACATTAACATCAATAACAATTTAAGAGATGTTTGTAAAACACTTAATGCCCCTTCCCCATTTTCCAACTCCAAGGGGCATAACCCTATCAAAAATGACACGATCGTACCCAAAACGGAACTTGATCTAGATATTCAGTTGATAAATCTGTATACCGAATTTCATTTCAATATATATACATTTGTGGTATCTCTCTATTATATAAACATACAGAGAGAAAATATCTTCAATTCTATATGAAGTTTGTCAGAGGTCAGAGGTCAATACGTGACCTAATCACACGGCGCAATAATATTTACCAGTACATAAATTATAAAATGACCTGCTCTACTTGCTTTTCATGTACAAAAATGAACAAAATAAGCAAGTAAAATGATAATTATTTTATTTACATTGTAAAAAAGTATTTCAGATTGTTGGCTATCGATTCAACCTGTGTACATAGAGAAAACTAACACGTTTGGGGCCTAGGCCTAGCGTTTGTTTACATTTTTTTCAATTTTGTCAGCTGCACAGTCTTTAACGTTCATCCTTATTTTTTGGGTAGACCTTTCGTTAAATTTTCATGATAAACTATTATTTTATCTTTAAATTCTACTCACGATAAATGTGTAAATCTGTTGGAAAATATCATTGCAGTCATGCCATGAACAGCTGCCAAACACCTCAGTGTTTTCGTAGTTCAATGTAAACATGGTAAAGCTGTCGCCAGTGTCTCCGTGTTTATCAGTGTTTTACAATAAGTATGCCTTTAGTTACTGAAATCGTAGAATGTTTTTGATCAAATTGCAAATTAACAAGTGTCTCAATCCATCGGATCCATCCATCCCTTTCCGGCGACCGAAATTCCTCCAACTTTTTATCATCAAACTTCGGACGTGTTTCTTGTGTCTTTTCAGCATCGATTATCAATTTTCACGAATAAAAATATTCCCAGAAACAATCTGTTCACTATTACTGATCACAAGTAGCCTTTCACAAAATATTCCCTTCGAAAAAGATTCCTTAGCCTAATGAATTCGAAGCCTAACCGCCATGCAAGCCGATTTACACCTGCGTCATTTTTCAAAATCTACGACGGACGGTTAGTGCAATAATTAAATTTGAAAATATTCAATTGTCTGTCTCAAATGTATATATAAGAATAAATAACAAGTTTATAAACTGGGAATTGAAATGGGTCGGTACGTGATCAAATCTTTTCTGAGAAGGCCTTCGGCCTTCACAGGATTTGATCACGTGACCGACCCACTTCAATTCCCATTGAAGTTTATAAACTTGTTATTTATTTCTTAAATGTACAACCTCTGCAAAGAAAATGAACGGAAACTGCAAATGATCGGAATTTTTCTAAGTTAAAGGGGTATAACTCTGACAAAAATGGTTCGATCGTACTCAAAACAAAACTTGACCTAGATATTCAGCTGATAAATCTGTATACTAAATTTCATTTCAATATGTGCAACCTCTGCAAAGAAAATGAACGGAAACTGCAAATGATCGGAATTTTTCTTAGTTAAAGGGGTATAACTCTGACAAAAATGGTTTAATCGTAATCAAAACAGAGCTTGACCTAGATATTCAAGTGATAAATCTACATACTAAATTTCATTTCAATATGTGCAACCTCTGCAAAGAAAATGAACGGAAACCGCAAATAATTGGATTTTTTCTAAATCCAAGGGGCATAACTCTGATAAAAATGGCACGATCATGCCCCAAACAAAAGTTGACCTAGATATTTATCTGATAAATCTGTATACTATTGGATTGGATGCCATTATTTAATCACCAAAGTTAAAATTTTGGAAAATTGGGTCAAACTTGAAGGTCAAGGGGTCAAAAATCATAGCATATTCGGAAAGATCCTGTTACAAGTATATAATGTACATGTCAAATATCTGAAAGCCCTGTCTCTTCTCAAACAAAATTCATAAGGACATACATAACATTTTTATTAATCACAGGGTAGAAAATCACTGTTTATAACTTTATACCAGGTATTTGGAAAGTTCTTGTCACAGATAATTTACATGTGAAATATGAAATCCATCTTTCTTCTCATTTAAAAGTTATGACCAATGTAAAGTTTTTGTGACATGTAGACGGACAGACTGACAGACAAATGAGAATTAATGTCCCATCACTTTGACGAAAGCGGGGAACAAAAAGCATTGTCTAAAACACGTTCATACATACTTACAATATTACGGGATTACATGCGCTGTGAATTAGAGGTGTCGCCTTGAAATCGACCCAGCAACTCAGATGTCCACAACAAGGAAATAGGCTCTCCCTTACAATACATTGACACTACCGGCGTAACGAAGTAGCTAGTACCGGTGTGTGATTAAATCTGTTGACTTACTGCATGATGAGATATGTAGCTTTCCGTCTATTATAATTTCTCCAGAATTTATAATATTTATTTATATACAAACAAATTATATGCATGTGTTAAGCAGTTTTATTACATGATCAAAAGAGCATCCATTGCATTGAGGAGAAATTTCAACAAACAAAAATAAATCAATAAAATTCTGTCAAAATATAACTGAACAAGCAAATTCAAAGAATTGTTGTCCCCCGCTTTCAGTGTCTTTACGGATGAGATGTGATTATTTATGGCATATTGTGCCAAATATGAACATCCTATCATGTGTCATTCAGAAGTTATCACAAAGTTGATTCTTTTTTTTTGAAAATTAGGTCAATTGTCAAGGACATGGGGTCAAAAATCATTGCATGCTCGGAAGAATCTTGTTACAAGTAATGCACACATCAAATATGAAAGCACTGTCTCTTCTCACTCAAAAGTTATAAGTATAGATTCACCATTTTTGTATAACATTTTTGAAAAGTAGGTCAAACTTCGAGGTCAAAGTCACGATATAAAAAAAAATCATAGTGTCTTTAGAAAGGTTTTAAATTGTTACAAGTAATACGAGGGTACACAAGTTTTTTTTTGTGAAAGTTCTATCTCTTTTCATTAAAAAATTACATGTATGGCCAATTCAAAGTAATGTTTAATTTTTTTAAAAGCGGGTCAAACTTGAAGGTCAAGGTCACAAGGTCAAAATGATAGTATACAAATAATTTAGAAAGGTCTTGTCTCGGGCAATACACATTTATAATATGAAAGCCCTATCTCTTCTCATTCAAAAGAAATGACCAAGGTTAAAGTTTTTGTTACGGACGGTAGAACTACATGCATGCTGACAGACGAATGAGATTTAATGTTCCCTTCGCGAAAGCGAGGGACAAAAAATACAATGTAATTTTTCTACAGGAAAAAAAAATTGCACGAACTTTTTAAATTTATGCATCAACAACAATGTCATTATTTAAATTTTCAAATAGATGACGAACGAATTTTTGATTTGATATTTAAGTCTTTCCAACTAGAAGAACAAAGACAGAACAATTATACTGGGTTTATGCAAAGGTGTGCGGGAAGGATCTAGGATGTATACTCCTTAAATTCTGATCAAGAACTTATAAGCGGATACTACTTTGGTGGATACTGATGCATTTGTTTTAGTTTGTTAGTTAAATTCACTCTCGAGAATTTTTCACTCATATAAAGCCACGAACCTGTCACATCCGCTTCCCTTCTTGGATATTTTATTTATTTTAAAAACGTTAATGTCCAACAACAGCAACAATAAACTAGGTGATAAAAGGGATGACAAGCTCTCTGTTGTCAGATCTCCGTATGGTTTTAGTAAAATATCACAGTATCCTGCATACAGTGTTCATGTCTAAAAACAGATTCGATACTCAAGAGAATATTCTGATAACTATGTTTTATACAGAGGTAGACTACTGATAAATAAGTTGAGGTTTCAGTATTTAATTATCCCGACTAAAGTCAGCATTTGGCATATATATGAACGTTATAATAACCTATTTTGAAATATCACCTATATCGCTTGGTCGTCTTTTTGACTGACGTGTTTTCCACTTATCATTTTCTGTTTAACTAATCAATATAAAATTCAGTTTCACCGCGGGTGACGATAGACAGGGGACGTTTACTTCTTTTTGGCGGCTGATTCTACTATGTTTTGTCCTGTTCACGATTCATTTTCAATTTACAGGGTTTTTTTCTTATTTCATCAAGTTCTTAAGGCTTTCATATGTTGAAAGAAGTTTGTAAAAACAATTCCATCTTAAAAATTAATGCTTGATTTTTTAACAAAATAAATATATATTTCATGAATTCAGTGAACACATGATTTTACCGTGGAGATCTGAAACCATGTGATGTTAAAATTAAATAAAAATAAATTACTTCTTACTTAATTTATAATTTTGTCTTTTTCAATATGGATGAAAGGTCACTTTATGCCAGACTCTAAGGATAAACAAATATGCTGGTGCTATGGGCAGACATTAACAAAAAATTGTTTACAAGGCTAACTAATTGTGAAAGTATCAAAAATTTCCTAACAGAGCTTAAAAGATCACAATTATGAAGAACTAAATGATAAAATAACATATGAGTGTTTTAAAGCTTGTTTATTCAAAAGTTTACAATATACAATTGTATTATACATATTTGTAAATATAAAAGATGATTATGGAATGTTTCATTTAATATACAGTGTAAACCAAATAATGATATGAACAGAAAAATGAATTATGTACATAATCATAATTATAGTTTGTCTCATAAAATATAATGTAAAAATTGTATATATTTTTTTTTAAAAATTACAATACCTAATCAGTGTCTTCATCTAATGATTTTATAGTAGATAAAATTCCTAACATAAATAGATTCACAGTTTATTTTTTCTGTATTGAAGGATTCAAGTATAATGCATGAACAGAGGAATTATAAGAAATCAAAGTTCCCAAAGCAGTCCTTGCATTTTCATACAAGTTTTTTTTTATTCATATGGCACAAATATTGTTCTTTTTTTTCATCATGTTCTTTAGATTACATTTAATTCTTCATTTGATAAATATGATCCCTTGACTAGCATAGTATTAATTTTTAAATTTGACTTGAAGCATGCCATCTTGCCTATACAATATATATACAAGACTGCTAAAATAAATTCCATAGATAAGAAAATGCTGTATGCTAGAGATTACATATTCTTGAAGTAGTAAACCATAGAGTGGAATCCCAATATGTCTGATTGTTATATACACATGTACCAAAATTACAAGTCTAGCTCCGTAGCTGTATAACCCGTTTGTGGTGGCGCGTATTGCATAACTGGGGCATATTGCGGCATCGGTGCTGACTGAACTACAGCCGGATATTCCATGGGTGACGTACGAACAAATCCACGATTAAAGTATGAGCCTTTGGTCGGAATGGGACTAGAGCCCAGATCAGGTTTCTCCCGCAGCATGTTGTATCTGACGCGTTTCAGATGACAATACGTACAGCATGCCTGCATCCATAACATTACTGCTGCCACTAAGCTGAAGAGGGCAGCTGCCCCTCCGATGAAATAGCCGAAGTTCAGACTCATGTCTGGGTGGGCGTTAAGGATGGTGTAGTAATTATAACGTAGAGGGATGTAGTCTTCCGCCGGAAAGTTTTGCCAGGCTTGATGACTGAAGAAGGCCATATGTAGGAGGATGAGGATACAACCAATTACTTGACTCAGGGCTAAAAATAAAAGCAAAATATAGATAAATAAATGAGGGCACCTGCAAGAAGAAAACTTGTTTTTCTAACAACTTAAATTTTACATTGCATAGTTTAAAGTATCCTTTTAGCTAGTTTTCTACATGTCATTGAGGAATTTTAATAATGCTATTTGGTAAATAATAAATATCATATAAAATTTTTACAGTCATTTTAAAATACTTACAAAATCCAGTTGCTCCTGCAGCAAGGAACATTTCTCCTGTCGGGGAGGCATACTGCTTGAATGCCAGGATAAATGAAGACCCACAGCAGAGCACGATTCCTATACTACCGAGTAGGTACAACAGCTGAGAGACGCGAAGGAGTGCTGAAAAGAAGCAAGCGTCATACTGTAGATCACTTAATATTTGCGACACCTTATTTTTGCGAGATAGTCATTGACTCTTTATTAGCGAGACAAAATTTTCACGAATTGTGGTCGTTGCTCTATATAATCTTAGGGAAATCTATTATATGCGAGAATGAAATTTTCGTGACGTCTTGCGTAATTACGCGAAAATAAAGTTCTCACGAATAAAAACTGAGTTACAGTATTAATTATTACAAGAGAAAAGGTGACATAGGATCAAAAAAGAATGTTTTAGTATAAAATCTGAAGAATTAATGTGCACTCTGACAGTATGTTTTGAATTTTTAAATTCTGATTCAATGATATCACCTATTCAAAAGATAATAAAATTTGTTCAATATGGAACTATAAGATATCAACAATCAAAATAAGTTTTGTAGTTCTTATTTTGCTAGTTAGATATCTTATAGTTTCATATTCAACAAATGTATTTGTTTATCAAGTTTTGTAGTTCTTTACAAACAAATACAACCCTTTCTTTGATAATTCAGTCTCAATACTGTACCATAAAATATAAACATATATACCAGGCATGAAGTGAGTATTGTCTGCTTTGTCCAGCATCAGTGTGTTGATGAATCTGTCTTCGTCCAGGAAATACAGGCCACAGTTGATTGTCCTATCCACAGAACTCTGTTGCGCCTCGGGTCTGCTATCCTCAACAAACACTAGATGCATCTTCAGACTGAACCAAAACGGCAGAAGACACGCAGTTATCGTGGCCATGGTTGCTATCAGCAAAAGTAGGGATGCAAGCCCTAGTAGCTTGCTTTTTAAAAAGTTTGAAATAGGGTCCGTCATTTTGGGAATGCGTGTCGGTACTACTTCCGTACTTGGGAAGGTACCGGGCCTGCCTTTGCCTTCAATGGTTGCCGTTTAAAAACAGTTCTCAAAAAATAAAATAAAAATGAAATATCGAAATATGGCGTTAAAAAAGTAAACCTGCTCGCTAAATTTCCATTTAGGTCATGTTTTGGTCAACATACCAAAGAAGTTACACCTTACGCCATGTTTTGAAGCGCACCTGTGATAAGCGCCGCCTAGTGTCATGACTCACGGTTTTTATTACAGGGAACTAACTCTGGCTCTTGTTAAAGATATATCTATTGCCTAACTTTTTAGTGCCAAATTATTTCTCAAGTTTGCATTGTTTAATTTGTTGTCTATTTTTAAAACGGGAAGTCTTATTTACCGGGGAGGTAAATAAGACTTCCCGTTCTAAAAATAGAAATTATACAATGCAAACTTGAGAAATAATTTGTCACTAAAAAGTTAGGCAATAGATTGGTTTATGGATAGTATTTGATGAAAGTTAAAGTAAAAAATTGGAATAGCACTTTTTATGCAAAAGTTTATTATTAGTGTAATTAGATGATTAATATGATTAATATCGATGTTAATTAGGGGGATACATCCGTGTTATTTTTACTAATTGTGCTAGGTTTTGAAAAAGACTGACACATTAATAGGTCCATTGTCGGATCTGAACAGCGAAAGAAGGTTTTACCTTTGAAGAATCTCCCTTTGATCTAAAAAAAAAAATGATTTATTTGGAAAGAAATTCATTAGATTTTATTCTACATTAAATTAAGGCGAACGGACCCTGTGCGAACAAGTTTTAAGGCGAGCGGACTCTGGGCGAACGGGAAATTGGGCGAACGGGAAATCGGGCGAACAATTTTTAGGGCGAACGAACATGGAACCAAATTGGAGAGTCCCATAGTATCGCGGCATAGGAAAACATGGAAACTTGTGGCTGACATGGACATCAATTTTTATTTTTATATTTACGGTGTAAATCTACATAAAAAATAAACATTTATACAAACTAAAGACTTTCGAAACATGAACTTTATTATGGCTTTTACTAGGTTTTAAAGTCAATGATCTAAATATGATAAAAAACGGGAATGGAAATCTGTAAAATTACGTTTTATTTAAATGAAAAATTAACCGGCGCATGTTCCGTACTTTTTAATCATCACAAAAGTTTACATTCGGACGACAAACAGATAGTATTTTAACAGAAAGGATATGAGCTATGTATCTGGGTTTTTGGAATATACCGCGATACAATGGAACCCGCGATATAATGAGAAGCGAGTATATACACTGTGCATCAATATCTAATTCGATAGTCATTAAAGTTAAAGAGTTGATTCAACTTTCATATTATCACCGTGTCTTTGTAATGAGATAATGATTCGAAATCTTTTATCCGGCGGCAAATTATTGCAATCAAAATGAAACATTTATTAAATGTGTAATTCTTGTATAACTCAATTCAATAGATTTTACAAAATCTTCGAGAAAGAACGAGGGCGCTTTTGATTGGCATTCGGCAGGAATCTGGGCGTAATTGAAAAGTGAAAATTTTATCGACATGTCACATGAAATTTTAACATTTTTGTTATTTATCAGGTTCCTGTGCAACAGGAAAGGAAAATATTTTCCCGAAATTGAGCTTTGATTTGCTAAAAAATAACTTGAAAATTGGCCAGATCAGATATTTGGTACAAAATGGTACATTTTTAAACACGTTTTTCTAAAATTTTTCTATCTCTGGGTCTTCTCTCCATGATTTTGAAACGTTATTTGTGTGTATTTTGATCCAAAGAAACGAATACACTTTTTTAAAAAATGGAGAGAAGACCCAGAGACCACGAAAAACGAACTTTTACCCAAAAAATCCAAATGCGTGAATGTGGTGCTTCTTTGTCCTTTTAAAATCCTCTATATATGTGTAGCGGTGATAGCTACCTATTCAGTGCACTGGATGTGGGAAGATTTTGGTTCGAGCCTGGGATCGGGCGTTATTTTATTTTTTTTATGCAAACAACCATTTATTTTGTCAGTTTCGTTTTATGTACTGATGTATTAAAATTTTGAATTGCATAAATTTTGGTTCAGTTTGGTTCTCGAGTGAAATCAATTCTAATCTTCTGTTTTATAATGTACATGTACACGTATCATGCATCATGCATCTATGCATTAAATATTTTAGGTGTTTATTTTTTGTGAAACATTACTATGTTATAGTAACCCCGAGGAAAAACGGGCATAAATGTTACAATTTCACAAGGTCTTTCAAACCAAATGAAAAAAAACAACCTATGGCCGTGTTTGTAAAATATGACCAGCTATGTTCAGCCAACCAAATCATGGACATTTAATTAAACCATAAATGTTTCGTACAAATCACAGGTGCTTGAGGACAGGACCCCCCCCCCCCTTCGATATAGACCCCTGGGCTTTTTCGATTTTTTTCTCATAAAAAATCTGTCATTGCCATATTTGTGATAAGATCTATACAAGTAAATCTAAAAATTACCTAAAACAAACGTTCTATTCAATCTACCCTACATTCTCTATATAAAAATCTATAGGGAGGGTAGATATTTTTATAAAATGTAAGTTTAAGCAAATTTTCTGACTTGGTAGGATAGATTCTATCACAAATGTGTCATCCATACATAATTTATGTGAAAAAAGTCGAACAGGCCCGGGGGTCTATATTGGGGGGGGGGGGGGGGTCCTGTCCACAAGCACCTGTGGTACAAATGATTCCTGCAGATCACTCGCCAAATACGCCCATATTCTTTTATTGTTTGATCCACTAGAATATGATTTAAAGATATCTGAACCTCAGCTAGGAAGGATTAACTCATTAAATTATCATTATCTAATTTAAAAAAGCTCAATAAAATGTGCAACCAGTTGAGTAGCCAGAATGGAAGCGAAGTGCACACAGGGAAAAGCAAAAAGTTCTGGGGCGACTTAATTAAGGCCCCTAGATCTAGTGGATCCAGGGCAAAGTCCTTGTGGCGGCTCAAGGGGGCGAAGCCACCGGAAGCTCATGGATTTTACCAAATAATTTATTAATTTTGCAAATAAAAAAATCATGTCAGTTTATTTTTATAAAAAAGAAGAAAATAGAGTAATTTTATTTTTTAACGCAAATTAAAGTTGAAAGTTTTTTTTTTAAATTTATTGTACGTTGAGGTAGTCCGATATTCCCAGGTCCTGAAAATCAGGGTCATAGGTGATTGAAAATGCTCATAAATATGTCTCTGAGTTTTAACAATAATTTGCATTTGCCCACGGTATTTCTCAAAGTTCATCATTAAATTTAATCAGATTATGAGCGGAAAATTATCAAATCTCAAATATATTTTCAGAAAATGTTAACCAAAGTACCCGAATCAAGGCGATATATTTATGCGGAATAATAAAATACCGTATAAGACCATTTTTTAAATGTGAGAAAAAGTACAATCTATTTGCATAGAACCACATATAGATGTGTTTGACAGGGAAATTTATATATTTTTGAGATAAAATACACTCTTACATTTTTTTATTTAAAAAAAGGGCGGGGGATATTGATCCACATTTCAGGTGCCTGTGGACAGATATTATACAGAAGATAATGAATCAGAAGACACATCAACTCTCTGGAGAACAGGCCTTATAGTTAAACTGCCAAAAAAAAGGAGTGAAATCTCAAACTAAAAAACTATATATTTAAAGGAATAACTTTGCTCTCGGTAAACATGAAAGTTCTAAGCAGAGTGATATGTTAGTAGAATCGCAGTTCCCTGAAAGAAAAAGCAGGTTTTAGATTGTTGTCTTTTGTAGAGGACATACTGAAGGTCATGTGCCCACTAGGTATTTATTCTCAAACGAATATTAGAAGAGAGCAAAGAATGGAACTCTCCACTTTACATCTATTTTACAGACTTTATAAAAGCTTTTGACGGTGTTAATCCTATATCCGTAGAAATTCTGTCATCATATGGGGTCTCCGACAAACCGATCACCATCATTTTATAAGATGATTTAAACAGATCTAAATGCCAGAGTTATCTATGGATCAAACCCAACAGAGGAGTTACTGGAGTAAAACAGGGAGAGCTGCTCTCCCCTCCTCTCTCTTCACTTTCTGCATTGATTGCATGGATCATGCGAAAAACCACCAAAAACAAGCGTACGGGAATCGGTTAGGCTATGTCAAAAATGCCAGAAGACCTACATTTTGCATATCGATGATTCTAACACTTCTAACTCATCGACATCGTATGAAATTTTTAGAGGTCCATGTTTTATGCCCTCTTCACAGTTTGATAGTTTATAGCTTCTTCTTCTTTTTTTTTTTTTTAGATCGTTCACTATTTGTTATTTTCACCTTTTTTCACACAAGGAAAAGGGAGGATACAAATACGACAAATATTAAAGGTTGATATGAACATTAATAACACCAAAATTTAGCTAAAGATTGTGAAGATAACACTTAATCAGACAAACCCATCACCATATAAGAATAAGCTGTCACATCAGACCTTGTCTACCTAGGAAGTAAGATAACCAAAGATGGGTACCATAGCTCCGATTTCTAAAGCCACATGTATGGAGGCCAGCAAAAATCAGCATAAATACCAAAATTAGAATTTCGAAAGTAAAGTGATTGGTGAATAGTGGAATTAAGGTAACAATAACCATTTCAAACAAACTAGACGCCTTCCAGATCAACTGCATTCTCAGAATATTGCTAGTCTAGTCATTCTACTGAAAAATGAGAACTAATTGCAACAGTTTATATTTTAATGCAGATTTGTAGATAAGCTATTAGTAACTCACATATAAAAAGTTTAGAAAAATTCACTCAGGGGAAAGTTGGGAAATCGAAAGATTAAAATTAGAGATTAATATGAATTTTGAATTACCCACTTGCACACCGTACTTTTTCTATATGAGCTCTCTGTGACAGACAGCCTGTAAACAATAGCCAATTAGCATTAAAAGTTGTTGTTTTAACCTGTAGTTTGTTATGCAATCAAAACTAAATAAAAAAAATATATATTTTGATTTTCAAAGAAGTGAAGTTTTAACTTCCACACCGGCCAAATATCATCTACACATATATAATGGTTGCAATTACCACTCATGTAAACAAAAAAGTATGGAACGCTGTTTGTATTCACAATATACATGTATGTGAAATTCCTAAATGTGAATGTGTTTACTTTCATTTTATTTGTAAACGCCTGATGGATATAAATTTATACCCCAGTAGTTTTGGAATTTAAACACAAGAAACAAAAAATGTATGGAACACAGTTTGTATACAAAATAAGTCAAAACAGCCTTTTCTAAAGAATTCTGCAAGGAAGCTTATCAGACAAGTACAATGTATATCAGAGTTGTAACATACATCATCACAGAATATATTTTGATTAATTATCTAGAAAATTAATAGAAATTTATCATTTTGAAATAATAAAGAGACAGATTTATGGAATCACATGAACATGATTTGATTTGAAGGCCTCCAAGTTAAAAAAATCAAATATTTAATTCCATTCAGGCATCTCCGGAACTTAAATTTGAACTGTGTGATTCAAACAATTTTTTTACTCTCCAGATTTACTGCTTATTGATTTTGTAAAGAGTAGCGAACCTGATATAAAAAGCCAATTGATATTGACCTTTTTCTCTATGAAGACTGCACCATGCATCTATACATGTACGAAAGCTGCATTATGTTTATAGTAATGGAAATAATTCAAATGAAATGTTTAGACAGAATTAAATACTTAAATGCTCTTTTTTAAATTTCTTAATGTAACTTTTTAACAAAATATTTGAAACCCATTTTTAAAACTTAACTTCTCCTTGTAGATCATATTGTCATTTTTGCAACAGTAAAATGCCTGACGCGGCACTTATTGAAGCTCCATTTTATGGGGACTGGTGATAACGGCGTTCCCACGAGCATGCTTTAGAATGTGAACAATCTGGAACACTTTCAAAGTCACTTCTTAATAAGAGCAACATTGAAAAAAGAAAAGTAGATGGACGTGAATCTTTCTACTATAATTGTATATTGTTTAACGTCCCTCTCGAGAATTTTTCATGCATATGGAGACGCCACCACTTGCCAGTGGAGAGCTGCACAATTTGTTCTATACTCAGCACTTACGGCCATTAAGCAGTGAGGGATCTTTTTTGCTCCAGTGCCTACTGCGACACGGGACCTCGGTTTATACGGTCTTATCCGACCGGTCTCCACATCCCACAGTGGGATTCGAACCCGCGACGTAAGGATCGACTCCTTACTTCGCAACTCTAGAGCAGATGCTCTAACCACTGCACCATGCGGGTGTATTCCTAGATTAAAGCCAAAGTCTTATAATTTCTATTACTGTTAGGATAAAAATATTTGGGGGAAATATAACAATAATACTTTTACATGTGAATTTGAACAAGTAAAAATTGACTACCAGTATCTACCAAGAGTTGAACATTTAATTCTTCCTTGAAACAAATACTTGGCTTGCTCTCTTTTACTTCATTCCATTTGTGTAAGTGCTTTAATTTGACCTTAGATTTTTTTTTATCAATAAGAATAAAATAATCTACTATGTGCTTTCAATTGCCCCCACCCTCTTCAAGTAACATTACATAGCAACGGTTTGAAATACATTAAGATTTAAAAAGGGTAACAATATAATAACTAGAGGTACTGTGAGCGATGAGCTCACTAAATGATACCCCCCGCCTCCCATATGGTTTTAACTGGTGAAAAAGTCCATGTTTTCCTGTGGCCGGGAAACCCAAAATATGTGTCGGATCAAAAAGTAAAATAGGAGGTGCACAATTGCAATATGTAATAAAGATTCTGTGAAAGTTTCATCAAATTTCATTCAGTGGTATGAGAGGAGTTGCGGATAAGAGATGGGTACCCCAAAGCGTAACAGACGGACGGACGGACGGAAATACCGATTACTATATACCCTCCCGCTTTTCAAGCGGGGGGTATAATTATTAACTGCGCAGAACCTTTGCGCGCATATTTCACGACATTTTGTACTCAATGCAATTTAATATTACTGTTGATTCGGCTACATCTTGGTCAACCATGATCATTTTCAAGGGATAACAATTCAGATTTTATCCTAAAACGCGTCTTATCTTCATATTATTGAATGTAGTTGAGGGTATAATTACACTGAAAAAAATTTGAAATATTTTTTGGAATATCACCATCCATGAAGCAACATTGACTGCATGTTGCTATAATGTTCTTATCACACCGGAGGGCGTAGTTTCAATATATGGAGGGTAAAAAAAAATACATTGATCCACTTAATATGAGTAAGATAGCACTTTTATTAAACTCATGACAAGAAATACCCTGTAGGGTACCCGGGTGTGGGGTGGGTTCAAGTTCTGATCAAGCAAGAACCATCATACTCATTATAGTGTACAAGCATTTTATGATACTGATGTAAGCAGAGTATTTTTTTTTATTTCTGAGCATTTTATACAAGTTACCAACCAATCATATTGCAGGGACTCAAAACTGGTGTCACATGTTGAAAGAAAATTTTCTGAAGGGTGGACAACACAACTACACGGGGAACAGCTTTGCAGTGCGTAAAAAAATTCAGATTTCAGAATATTTTTCGACAAAAAAAAAATTAACAACTTACCTAATCCAGAATAAAAACATATAAATCTATTTCGGGGAGGAATGGGGTTCTATGAGATCTTCCCACAATTTTCTTCATATACGGGGAAAACCTTTCAGTTACAGGAGGGATTCAGTTTTTTTTTTTGGGGGGGGGGCATTTTCTGCTACTTTTTCATAAAAAATTCTTACTGGGGGATGTCCCCTGACCCCTCTAAATCTGCTCCTAATTATTTTCGGATATTACCTTTCATATGAATTAAATCATTTTTATTGTTTCTTAACTTTTGGTGATTGAGTATATTCGTGTTATACTTAGCATTGCTGAATACCGAAATTTTTCATGTCAAATTCATTTATAATATATCCATGTTTACCACCTATTTACATAAATCTTCTAAATAATTTCTTTGAAGCATTTATGGCAAAAGAATGCATTTTGAGTATGTGTGTAAACTAACGTAATGACTGTATTCATGTTTGTAAAGGTTCATTGTTCAAAAGTAGGTGATATTCTCAATTTATACTGTTTCCATGGCAACCAGCACATATAGTAACCAATATTTAATATTTTTCCAATTCAGTTTATTCAGTTAAGTTTATTTCCCTACTTACATGTTTTTTTTTAAACCAGTATAGAAGTTTCTACTTTACATAGTTCGTTTAACACTTAATCAGAGTGAACACAATACGTCCCAATAATGACCTCAATTTTTCAATTTTCCCATGTATAAATTTTTCTAAACTTTTTGTTATATATTCAGATCATATCGTAGATTGATTAAAACTAAGTTTTGAAACTGTTGCAATTAGTTCACATTTTGATGGAAAATTTGATAATTTGACTAGACTATGCGCATATTCTGGCCTATTACCATCTCAAATGAAGAGTTTTACACACTTCTCTATCCCTGGTAACAAGAATAAGAAAATTGCTGTGGATAGGACACATATGCAGATCGCACGCAATATCCATTCATTCCAATGTTACATTGAGATGGACACCAACCGATAACAGACACCAGGAGAAGATTTGTGGGAAAAGAAATTAAAGAGAACTGAACATGTGGACAGGTCCAGAGATGGACACAGAATGACCAGCATGGATGTTTCTGGTGACGGCCGTCTGTGCTGATCAGCATGGAGAGGACTTAGTCAGTAGAATAAATGGAACACCTTTGGTCTTTCACAGAATGCGTCTCTTTTAAAGGCCTAAGGTGTTCCGAATGCTCTCCCCTCTCTCTTCTTTATTATTCCCCTTGTTTCCAGTATGGTTGAATCCCATTATCATATAAGATTTAATTGATGAACACTGTACATGTATACTGACTATGTGCTCGTATAGATTTTATTAATAAATTAACACACCTAAATAGTGAATAATGTTTCATTCTTCATTGTTTGCAATTTTCAATTTAAATCACAAGCACAATTAAAAAAAACTGGCATGTCCTTTTAAATCTTGCCTGTAATTGTCTAATTCTTCATCAAGATATGAAACATCCATAGTAAGCTTGAAGAAATTTGATACTTTAAATAGAGTTTAAAATTCGTGTCTACCACTTGAACTTGTAGAATCTTATGTGGAAACGCGTAATATTGACTAGTTATTTTTGGAAGACAAGACAATTTAAGGCACTTCCTGTCATGGGGACCAAGGAATTACTTCTATCTGCTGGTAAATAATTTCTTATATCAACTTAAAAACAAAAAATGTAATATCTTCAATTTTTAACTAACTTAAAATAATTATCTATTGCCAACCCATATTTAAGAGATTTATTTTCTAAGTTAAAATGTAACGGGTATTTCAAAATGTATTTTCAGTTATACTTCTAAGCAATAAAGATTGAGGTTTCAAAACCAGAGATTTAAGATTATCATATGTATACTGTATATAAGATATAAATGTATCAATGAAAGTATTTCTGGTGTTAGTCTATCTAATTACCTTCATCATTTACACTGTACTGACATTCCGTATTTACATTCTGTCTTCATTTTATATTTACACAAAGCAAATGATTGATTAAATTTAATATTCCTTTAACCCCCTAAAACTTACTTTTTCAAACTTCCTTGATTAAGTTTAAGCACCCCCCTTTCCAGTAAATACTGATTAATTAAGGCATAACTAATGTCCCCAGTGCTCAAAGTTTAGGGATTTACAAAATATGATTTTAAATATGATTTTAAATAAAATTAATTTGTATGAGGTTATTTTAATGAAACTATCGGACAATTTAGTACGAAATCAGCCAATGTTAGGACGGTTTTAATAAGATGTTTGTGATCAGTCAAGCAGACCGGTCATTTTATGTAAACACTTCTTCTTTTTCTCTTAATGAGTTACGATAGTTAAACTGCATCAAATGTTGCACAAATTTGAGGATACAACTATACTATAGTACATTAAAGTCGGTTATTGGGAACTCACTTATAAAGAAATCATTAATTTTTATCGTGAAAATTTCACGAATCTGAATTGAGACGTGTACATGTACTGTGTAAATTGTTGGAGAAGAGGTTTAATAGCTAAAAATCCATGGATCGAGGTCAATAAACTTGGTTTTCTTTCTGATGTTTGCTTACAAGTATTAATTGTAACTTTGATAAAGTCAAGGTCATAGTATCAATGGAAATACATGTATTTAAAGAATCCTTGTTTTAACACCGAAAATTTATGAATCATGATAGATATACAGTACACTCATAACTCAAACATTTTTTTTTCAAAATCACAGGTATTCCGAATGAATTTGGAGAAGCTATGAGAAGCGAGAATGGAATATATAAAGCAGCGACCTACGAACCGTTTAATAAAAATAAACCATATCAAGCGAAGAAATGTTCCACCCCTAAACCTTACAAAGGACACACATACAAACATACCATCAAACCAATACGTGAAAGCAGAGAGTACGAGCCCTATACTTATGATCACGTGTACGTTATGTCCAGGATATATCACGAAAAACCAAAGAAAGAGGGACCAAAGAAAACAAAGAAACCGCCCCCTCAGAAACCGAAAACACCTCCGCCAGTAAGCTCAATTTTTTTTTTAAATTTAAATGCAAGTTATAATGTTTCCTCATTTTGTATATGTGTGTCCTATACATTGGAAACACGAAAAAAGGAATAAATAAATATAAATCAGTACAAAAATCCAAGCCATGGAAACAATTAACATGATTTACATTTTACAGTATTATATTTTGCATAATCAAACTCATGGTATAAATCAAAAACTCTTTTTGATAAAAAAAAGTTTGTATGAAAGACTAATGTTTATTTTATTTTAGCCTCGCCAGTCCTCGCCTTCTCTACCATACAGTGCTGTGGAAACCATCAAGCGGTCAAATCTGTTATTAGCGGAAGTACGCACATCATCACCGGAACACAGCTATTCTGTGTTCAGCTGACAGGAGATATACTTCCGGTTTTGCTATACGTCTACTTCCAGAACGTGTTGTGTGCAATATTTAGATTTATTGCAAGCATGATGTCCCACATATACAAGCAGTGTATATAATACTACTTGAACTCTTAGTATTGATGACTCAAGCAAGTGTTCATAAAAATTGAAATGCTTGAATATGTATTATTTGAATATATATGTAATGTAAGCATTTTTATGACTTTATAGTTCTTTCGTTTATGTATTCCAATGTTTTTTGTCTTGAATGCGAAGAAGATAAAATATTTCACCATCGCCAGTCCAGTGTTTCACTTAACCAGTCCAATATTTCAATACGTCAATCCAATATATATGTTACTTTTTCCATCTTACTCTTTCGGTTCATTATTTAACAAGAAACATATGGAGATAACGAACAGTATCTAGGATCAAAAGTCCATAAAACAATACAAAATAGGAGCACAACAAACACGGACCTCCAAAACATCAGAGGTGGGATCAGATGCCATGGAGGAGTAAGCATCCCCTGCCGACCAGTCACATCCAAAGTGTGCTCCTTGTCATGATCGGAAAATAACGGAAAAATCCGTCGTTAATTCAGTGTATAAATAATGGACTAACTATTAGTATGAAAAACGTCAGTCAGCATTTGAGTCAATGATAAATTGCATAAATTTGCTAACAAGTTCATTGTATCGACCATAGAACTTACGAATTGATAACTTTAAACGAGACAGCTTAAATTCTTGTTTTATCAACTTGTTTGTCAATAATTTACCTTCTTTAAGAAATTGTTCATACGTAGAGCATGCTCTGGCGTATCGAATCAACTGAAATATATAAACTCCTTATGCAGGGGTTTATTCCCACTTAGCCAAAATTCTGAAATTCTTATTCCCACTTAGCCAAAATTGATATTTTCACACCTGAGTGGTCACCTGTGTATAGTCTGTTTTAGATTGATTACCTGTAATTTACCTGTAATTTTCACCTGAGATTTATATATTTACCTATATACTTATATATAGGTATTAACAAAAAATTAAATAAATAAATGAATGAATGAATGAATGAATGAATGAATGAATGAATGAATGAATGAATAAATAAATAAATAAATAAATAAAGGAAATTAATTATACTTTATTTAAAGAAGTTAATGAATAGGTAAAAAAATATATTTAGAAATATTTAGGAAATAGTTAATTTAGTAATTCATCTTTCAAAGCTTATATTTTGTATAAAGTTTTTACACAAAAAAATAAATTGTTGATAATTATCAAACCAGAGATAAATAAACAAGATGCAATTATATAGTGATAAAATAAACAAGAGTGCCCTGTGATGCTTTTCCTATGTTGGTATCTATTTGATAATTGATGTAATTAATGAATCTAGAAAGGACATAATTGTTATTAATTCCGTTTGAAATCTAGGATTAAAGCAATTATTGTTTATTAAATGCTCTCTTTTTACTTATTCTAAAAAAGAAAAAAAATACTATGTACATCACTGTATTAAGTATGGCGAACGTGCAAGTACGGGTGGATTTCCTGGAGAATGGCAGGGGAGGTTTCTTCCTTCTTCAAGGTGGTTTCAAGTACTCCATAAGAACAAGATACAACGACAGAACCTACTGGAGATGTATTGACAGACAGTGTCCAGCTTCATTAACAACATCTGAAAACATCGTGGTGAAGTTTGGCAGACCACACAACCATGAGGACAACTACATTGGACTAGCAGCCGAATCCTTCATCAGTGGTGTGAAGAAGAGGTGCAGAGAAGAGGCAACACCAATCCCAACCATCTATGATGAAGAGTTAGGAGGTTTGCGCAACACCGAATGTGATGATTCAGTGGTGGATATGATTAGGAACATTCCAACATTCCAGGCCTGTAAGTCCATTTTGTACAGAAACCGGGCTAAGACAACTCCAAAGTTGCCTACTTCGCAGGAGGAAGTTAACCTCAATGGACCATGGACCTGTACTTCAGCTGGAGAAAGGGGTTCCTTCTCTGTGACGACACTGATGCCCAAGGAAACCGAATCCTGATATTTTCTACAGACTCCAACTTACAGCACTTGTGCGCGGCGGACACCGTTTTCAGTGATGGAACATTTTATTCCTGCACCAGATTCTTCACGCAACTCTACACACTGCATGCCAATGTGAACGGAACTATGTTTCCCCTCGTATTTGGACTTCTACCCAACAAGAGTGAGGCCACTTACAACCGTTTCTTTGTGCTTCTGAAGGATGCAGTTACTGACCGACAGTCTGTGTTAACTCCCGAACATTGGTTACTGGACTTCGAAATCGCCGCAAGGAATGCAGTTCAAGGAAACTTTCCCAGGACATCTATCAAGGGATGCTTTTTCCATTATACCCAGTGCATATGGAGGAAAGTCCAATCCTGTGGATTGACAACACAATTCCGGGAAGATGAAGACTTTCATCGCCTAGTAAGGAGAGCGGCTGTTCTTCCTTTGGTTCCAGAGCAGCAAGTGGAAGACGTGTGGTTTGAGGCACTACAGGACAACGAAGACGATAATCAAGATGTTGGACGTTTTAAGGACAACGAAGGGCCACGGACAACAAATGCAGTGGAAGGATGGCATCACAAGTTCAACCGGATGTGTCGCCGCCCCCATCCAAATTTGTTCATGTTTGTACAATTAATTCAGAAGGAGCAGGCAGCCAATGAAGCCAAGATGATTCAGCTTGCTGCTGGTGGTGTTATCCGTCCAAAGAAGAGAAAGTATCGACAATTAGATCGTCGTATCCAGGACCTAAAGACCAGACTACGCCAAGGAGATATCCAGATAATGGACTACGCAGATGCTGCCTCTCATCTACTGCATTTGGAGTGATGTGTCTTTGAGTGTTTGAAGGTATATTGCTGCATAAGTAAGGGAAGTTGACGATAGAAAAGTTAATGTCATCACGTTTATCATAGAGCTTGGTTGTTAGATTACCATTAACGTCTTTTTCAAGTAAAATATCCAAATATAAAACAGATGTGTCAGACATTGTGGTATCTTTTATCTCAAGCTCACCAGATTATATCGTATCGACATAAGAATGGAAATTGCCCTTGTTAATTGACAATACGTCGTCGATTTATCTAAATGTCGAGTTGAAGGCACGGTAAGTGTTTTCTTCTTTTCACGCATAAGATTTTGCACCAATTCTGCTTCATATGAATGCAAAAATAGGTCTGCTAATAACGGGGCGCAATTGGTACACACTGGAATTCGAATAGATTGTTGGAAGACCTGGTCTCCATAAACGACGTAGATATTGTAAATCACAAATCCAAGCATCTTTTTGAAGTCAACATCAGAGTACTTGTGTTTACAATCAGAATGATTTTTAACAAAATAATTTTGCAAATAACCAATGACAAGGTAAGTAAATTTACGAGTTCCATTTTTACTAAAAAAGCAGCTGTCAATGATATCATAAAGCCTGGATCGGGACTTTAATTAATCGTGGGGAATGGTTGTGTATAAAGTTGAAAAGTCGTAAGTTTTAAAGCTGTTGATTTTGGTGATATCTTGAGATTTCAAATTGTCCAAAAGTTCCTTGGAATTTTTAAGTATCCACGTCGGATTTACACCACTTCTTGAATATATTGTTTCACAGTATTCTTGAAGTTTGTCCTTCACTACTGTTAAAATTTTAGTGAGGAGTAAAGAAAGAGGCTTGATTGAACATTTACCGGAACCCGCTATGTATCTTTGTTTGTAAGGATTCTTATGAAGATTTGGAATCCCGTATATATACTTATACAAATATAACTGCCTGAAGAGCCGAGCATGGCGAAAGTGCTTGTAGTAAATGTTTTGTGATATTTTTTGAATTTTACTTTTAAATATATACATGTATATATATATACATATATGTGGTAGTTCAAATTCATTTTGGTTCTTTGGAATATCAAAAATATTCAAAACTGTCATATGATTTTGAAGAATTTCCACCTTAGAAAGGGAACTATGAGTTTAAGTTGGATTACCACTTGCAGAATTAAATCCAAGTTCTTCTAAAATACAATTTATATAATGAGTCTTACAAACGAAGACAATGTTGTTACCTGCTTTGTCAGCAGGGACCAGTACGTACTGATCATGTATAATCTATCTAATTCTTTTCTCACTTCTGGTTTATTGAATACAGAAGGATAGATGGTTTTCATACTGCCCCTCAATTTTTTAATACGTGATTGTAACATGGATCTGATGCATTTAATCCATTCTGACGAAGTGTCAACGCCTTCTTTTTCATATCTGGCCCATCGATCGATGATGTAATTATGCGAAGACGATCGTGCGATGGTACGATAGAGCGATGTTGATTCTATAAGATGGTGATGTCACAACGTTGACTCGATATTCGATATCGCTGTATTGCGTTATTATACTATTGCCATGGCGCATCGATTGTCACCATCGTCATCACACCATGGACTATGGATCGAATGTTCGATAGTGCGATAGTAAATAATCTGATCCAATCCGAATTCTTTAGATAAGTATTTTTCGTTTCCTGATACAAATGCTTTGAACAGAAAAAAAACTATGATCACTTCATCAAAATTCAAAATATCATATGAATCTGAATTTTAAAAGCCCATGAAAAATATAATTTATATTCACCTCTCGCAATTTTTTTCTCCCTTTATTTTTAAGCGGTTAGCTTCGCTAGCCGCTATATGGCATGTGTCGGCAACCGGAAACCTCCATAAGGCGCTACCTATCGGCATCGCTTTATCGCTCGTAACCTTATCCTTCTGCAGCCAAAACCGGAAACTTCCACAAGGAGCTACCTATCGACAACGGTAACTTCAGCAAGTGATTTGTATACTGTCGGCGTAATACGCCCCCTGGTTAGAGATTGACAATATGCTGTGAAGTCTGACTAAAGCCAGCCCCTACTATATCACTTCGTACTAACGAAGTATATGCTGTGTATGAAGAGTGGCTATTATAACGATTATATCGAATTCTTATTAGTATATTTACCAAAGCATTGACAATACTTACAACACTTACTTTTAAGAACTGAGAATTTGGTCCTTATTACATGTGTATCGCGCGATCGCGATTTCTGGCAATTGTTAGTTTATTTTTGAAAGTTGAACGATACGGTTTATTATACAGCAGGTTGGAGGTTATTACAGACTGCAAAAACATCAGCAAATCTCTCGATCGAGTTTGATTTTCTTTGCCAAAGTATTAAGAAACACCATTTACTAAGTTAATATATGAAAAGCGCTTTCATAAAAACACCGAAGGCATCTGTAAGTTTTACACTTTTTGTAACGTTCTATGGAAACAATAGGGTTACCTCCACTATGAAACGTTTGTTTTCCTTCTCTTTTCTTCTCTGTCTAATAAACAGATTTAAAAGCTCTACTCCCAGGGATAAATTCTCTACTCCGTCTTTGACAATTTATAACAATCGATCATAAGGGATTACTAACTATTAGTTTTGTAAAAAATAATGGAGCACTTAAAGTAGTAAAATCAATTTTGAAAAAAAAAATGGCGAAATATATATTAATTTTAATCAGCATTGTAATCTTCTAAAAATCAACCGATATTATTTTCACAGAAGAATGAGGTATGAAAAATTTTGGCAATTAGCAAAAATTTAAAATATATACTTAATGCTTATTTATAAGTTTTGAAAATTTGATCAATTCCTAGGGAACGTATTATTAGCTGTGAAAATACTTTTAAAATTTGAATTTGTCCAATTTGTCGATTATTGTTTTAAACGTTTGAGAAGAATAAAATTAAAATACAGGTGTTTAGAGGCACATTGATAGAAAAGAATTCAGTGCATATTGTTTAACCGACATATTGAAGAAAGTGACACTGATAACTTTTTAAGTTACACTGATTTTTAATGTACATTTGAATTTTTAAATACTAGTATTGATTGATTACACAACTTTCCTTTTCATGTTTTATTTGAGAACAATATTGCATGAAGAGTATATGATAAAAAACACCTTATATGTCCTTATCTAGATATTGTGCCTTATATTGTGCAAGACTTCTTTCAAATGATTCTCATATACCATTTACTTTATTCGAACATTTACTTGTTTAAAAAGTCAATAAAATATATTTCATAAAGCTTGATAATCTTGTTTACTCGCCAGTCTTCCCGTAGAAGTAGTAGTTTATAATATTACTAAAGGAAGTATTCAGTATCTGTATCAAAATACAGAATGATCAATGATCGATTTTAGAAGAAAAGCTGACTCCTGAAAGTTCAAGAGGTGGGATCCGTTGCCTAGAAAAAGTAAGCATCCCTCGTTGACAGGTTAATTATATTGCCGCGATGAGCCTACATAACTGAATCTCTCTGATATCAATTCATTTACAAAGTCTCTCCGCAGCCATCCTTTTTTCTCTGACTAGCCAGCTGTAGATCTACACTACTCCAAATCCGTTAATCTAAAGAATTTAAAGGCCGGTATTCACGGTAAGATTTGTATTATAAGATTTGTATTATAATACAAAATCTTACTGTGTATACACTCTTAATACAATGTATCATAAGATTTTTCGAATCTTATAAGACTGTATTAAGAATAGAGCAATGCTCTATTTCCTAATACAAGTCTTAACTCACCTTTCACTTTCAACCAATCAAATGTACTCACATTGGGGGTCATCCTATTTATATCATTACTAAATAAAGCACATGGTAAATAATAAAGGCCGACTTTTCGAGTAAAGATATCGAAAAACTCGTGGTTTTATGGGAAGGGGAAGAGGACTTGTGGAATATATCAAGCTGTAGCTACCACAAAAAAGATGCTAGAAGCAGAGCTTATTATTATCGTTTTTATTATTTTGACAGAGAGAGAAATATAGCAGGAGAAAACACGTGGGGATAATAGTTTATTTACAATCTTATAAGATATGTATTAGCGTGTGTACAAGAAAGTATTATAATGCAAAAGTATTATAATACTTGTATTATACTACAAATCTCATCGTGTATACCGGCCTTAACTTGTCATTTTTTAGTTGTTTGTTATAGTAGGCTTTACAATTACCTAATTTCAGATTCAATAGAGAATAAAAGACAATGAAATTTTCAACATCAACATAATTTTTTTTATCCAGAGAACAATTGGATGCCATCAAGAGAGAATTTTTAAAAATGCACTTCCTGTCTTTCAAACTGAAGAAATCTCATGTTTAAATTTTGAAACATGCATTTCAATCTTATTAAAATTTATTTAAATGTTCCAAATCCGCTACCGCTTCTGAAACATCTAACATCCCATTCGGGGTCACATCAGAGCGACCTTTCAATTATGAATACATGTACAAGTAAACACAAACACTTTGGCCATGTAGATTCAAGCCTCGGTAAACAGTTCTCAAATTAATTCCACGGCTACATATCATCATTATTGATACTGTTTTACGTTGAATTAAAGTAATTTTGGAATAAATTTCATGTATCTTCTGCAGTCTGGCATCTAAACGTGAATAATGCAATCGAAAGAACACAAACTATACAAGATACCCCACACGTCATACATAACACAACTTTTGCAATGCATATCTTTTTACTACAAAACTCCTCGGGTGTTTTGGTTGAGTGGTGAAAACAAGAAACCCATCTGAACTATTAGCCAGGATTTCGGAGGAACCATTTTCTTTGCCTAATCGAAGATTCACTCTTACATGACCCCAAATAGGATGTTGTTAGATGTTTGAGAAGCAGTAGCGGATTCGGAACATCTAATTTTAATTAGATTGCATCCATCTGTGACATCAGTTTGGAATGTTATTGGTTTTACTATTGAGTAAAGTATTACAAAAACAGAATGTCTGGG